CATGTCTTCAAGATAACTCGTCACGCCTTCCATTCTTCAGTTAATCCATGTATTGGCCCACATATTTTCCTAGCCACTGTCTTTTATATACATCGTCTGTACTTCTTTCAAATTAAAATGCAACGTTCCGCAACCATAACAAGGGGACACTGATTTATAGGCCTAAATTGTAGAAGAAATCAGTCAGGAAACGTACTCACGCCGTGACAGTTCCGATTCATTCGTCAACATTTGACCTTTGCGAATAGCGCTTGTGACATCACAGTCGGAGATTCTCCATGTGGTTGCTGTCTTCTCACGACGTCATCACAGGGATTCCCCACGCGCTTGCTTAATCTGGCTGAAATTCCCCACTTACCAACTTTCGCTCGCATAAACGCTTGTAGCTTTATTTTTGTCAGATTTCAACAACAATTGGGCGGAAATAGGAAAGAATTTAAAATAGCAACTTGTTATTTTGATGCAGCAGTCTCAGAGCCTGACTCAGCAGACGGCAGCAAACAGTAACGCAACAGGAACAACAAAATACAAAAGGAATTGAGTCAAACACAAAATATGAACTAAACGAACTTGGAAAAGATGGGTTGGGATATTATGCCATGCAGAAAATACTGCCCGAAAATCTCGTTTTATATTTTACAAGAAATTACTAACAGTATAAGTAGGACAGGCTTCTGGCAAGTGGACATAGTAGTAGGCTTAATCGAACAGAAATTACACAGTAGTTTTACTCAGCCGTTACTGGCATGCAAAGGGGCAATTTTTATAAATTGTGAAATTGTTAAATTATTGGAATAAAGATTAATGGATATTTATAATCTTCACAATATTGCATAAAGCATGACGGACAAAATTTTAGGCACAGGCATAAACTTCCAGGTATCTGAAGATGTCTGTCTTCTGGGTTGTTGTGCCGTGTACAACCCAGAAGACAGCCATCTTCAGACTCACCGCCGTGAAAACCTCAAGACCTACGTTCCAGGTATCTGTTGAGAGACGTGACGGTGTAGGGGCTGAGAAAACAGCCACGTGCTACGGCACAGAACTTAAATCAGAAGCAGGCCCACTCCCGTGTAATAAAACCCCTACGTCTCCCGTGACAATCGAGTTAAGATCACCCCAGTTTCTCAGACGCTGTGAAGGTGCAGAACGTGTGTTCATTGTCAAACTATATTTCTCCTCTAAATCTTTTGCTGCTGTTCGTGGAGCATTCAGCAATGCATGTCCTGACAAGAAAGTACCGGACAATACAACCTCTGATAATTAGGTGACAAGTGCCCATCAAACAACAGAACATTTGAAATTACGGCCGTATCGAGCAGCTTGAAGTAGTCCAGCAGCTGCAGCGATGGGATCCGGCTACAAGAAGTCAAAGCTGTTGTTGGATTCGTCATTTTATGCGTGGAAGGGTTGCGTTTTAAGTTGAACACTCTGTAGTGCCGAAGGTAGGTCTGTACAGCTTTCTCTCAACATCTGATCGATTCAACACACTAAATTCATCTAATAAGTCGAAGCGTTTTTGTGACACATGTTTTCTGTTTAAGGAAATGCTTAGTACAGAGCTTATTGTCATTATACATTCTACACGAAGTTCCGCCCATTATTGTAAGTGCAAATTGATTGTGACAATTTCCGGTTAGTTGGCAACACTGGTTACAGGTAAATTAGGTTAGGTTAGTGTCGGTTAATCCTAGATACAGTCAGATTGCCATCACAGCAACTGATTAATTGCCACCACAGTTGAAAAAAAAACATTTTCTACGAAACAGAGAAGGGTCGACCAAAGCAGAGGTCATTAGTGTCGCATACCACATCAGCTCCGCGCCTAATTTGTAAAAAACAAAAAGCGGGCTGTGTTTCGGGCGTATTCCATTGATGTTTTTATTTTATTTTAATTTTATTTTTCTTCCTGTTGTTTGGTCGCTTTGTGGGGACCTCGAAACCGAATGTGAACAAGCCTTTTTCCCCTCCACGTCTCAAACTGAAGGCCCTTGTTAGGTTCATATGAAGCTTATAAGTTAGGCCTATTGTTTCATTAGACATCAGACTAATTTTCTGTGAGGTTGGTGACGTTGATATAAGTTGATTTTATTTTTTTATTTTTTTCGTAGAATAGTGTTGGAAGGACGTGTTGTCTTCCTGTAAAAGTTTCTCAACTTAAATTGATTTTTCGATCTATTCCCACACCTTCCTATGTTGCTTTTTCCTCAGGGAGCGTAATTCATTTTATGTAGCCGGCAGACACTGTTTTCCAGTGGCAATCACAGTCATTATCTGCTTTAACGTTCAGTATTGCTGCATTTTCCCCTCACAGTGGTTTTGCGACACTTGTATGTTTCCCAGAATAAGGAGCTATAATCTCCTTAAACGTCAATAGCCTATTGATCCATATGGGCTAATGAAGCCTCGTGTTTTCTTTGAAGTAGGAATTGAATTTTAAACAATGTTTAGTTACGCTTCTGCCTCAGACGTCCAAGTGGTAATAATTTTTAACCTGTCAAATATGTTTGTAGTCTGCAGTCTGCTTTTTATTAATTTTTCACTTCTCTTGAACAAATGAGTGTCGCTGTTGACAGACACCTTGTGCTGTGACCATTCGGAACATCCTGTGGGTGCCACATGTGTGACAAGATGGAGTGTCAGCGTGCAGACTGTTAACAAGCTCGAGGGCTCTTACATCGGTTAGTCGGTTTCCTCAACCGAGTTTATCTTCCCAGATTTCTTGCTGGGTTATTAATGAGCATCATAAGCTTCTGGAACGGTGACAAACATTTCGTTCTCACTAAACCGTCGATTGTACAAAGTTCTAGAAAATAAATCTGTAACTAAACCAACTGTGTCTTAACAAAAACCCGGAGATTCAACGCAACTGGACACGGTCTTGAGCCAGTTTCATTCACCTCCCTTCCAAAAATGTATTTTCGTGAGGCGCTAAATGTATCACGTACTTGAGTTCGATTCTAGGAAGGGTCGTTGAGATTCTTTTCTTCACCATCCACTTCAGAATAACTCTGAGGCTCACCCAGCCTCCCCTCAAGTGGATATCGGGAACCCTTTTTGAGAGACACACCACAAAAGTTTTAAATAAAAGAGGTGGATTTTAATGAGAAAAATAATACAATTTTAATTTCAACTTCATGGGAAATGGTAATTATGTTCGGACGATATGCACTACGACTAAATTCCCTCAGCAACTTTCAGTACATCTATACCATCAGTATGGATCGTGGACCAAATCCGTTGAATAGTTTCGGAGATGAATCATACAGGCTGACACAGACCACCTTGTTATTTATTCGTGTAATAAACTATGCAGAGAGTGCAAAATAACTCCGCCAGCACTGGAAATATGGAATATGAAGACGTCTGTCGTGTCACTGTTGTACGTACTGCAACATAAGAAAGTAAGTAGCTTTCTGGTGATGAATTCACTCGGTGACAGGCCATACTTCACCGCCCCCTAAATTCGCTCCTGTTAGGCAAGCCCTTCTGTAACACATGTGCGACAACTGGAGCCCTGTTACTGTTAATTAACTGCTAATTATGTACTAATTAGTTTTCAGTTGCAGTCGCTAGATGTCTCGCAGGAAATGACGACAGGGTGTTCTCAATGGCGCGGAACTCTGTGGTTGGTTGATTTGTGGGAGGGACCGGATACTGTATACTCTTCAACCTTCGTCATTACGTTAGTCCGAAGAAACTGTTAATGTTTTACCCGACATTGAGAATGAAAATGCTTTGAGACTATCAGTTATGAAGACTGCATTTCGCATTTGTTGAAGGACCTAATTGACTGCACATCTACCGACGTACTTTGGCGTGTGCGGGGTTTCCCCCCGCAATATCTGAGAGTTATCGAGCCTCAGATTAGCTAAGGAATCTTTATCAGTAGTGGAATTTATATCTATCGGTGTATGGCATCGATTAAGGTCGGAAGATGATTATTAATTATAAGTAAGTGAAAGTTTGATTGGAGTCGGTTGTGTCCCAAGTCAGGGCAGACTGGGGAAAACCACAAAGTCCTCTGAAGATACAGCCGGCAACGTAGCCGAGATTCGAACCTTGTTCCGCTCTATGCAGTGAATAATATTGGAAAGGTGTACTCTTTACGTCACATCACAGGCCACGATGTCAGCGGGATAGCCAGGGGAACAGATAACAGAGGCAATTATTACAATAATATGATTGAAGTTTACAGAATTACCTGTTGTTGAGTTTTAAACACTTGACCAAGTGTCAAATGTCAAGTGTTTTAACCTCCATTCGGGGGGATAGTTAATTTCTTACTCAAGGGTTAAAACACTTGAATGAGACACTAAACTAACCCCCCCCCCCGAAGGGGGGTTAATTTAGTGTCTTACTCAAGATTTTAAAACGTGTTTTAACCCCCCATTCGGGGGGGGGGAGTTTAGTTTTTTATTCAAGAATTTAAAACGCAATCAAGTGTTTTAACCCTCAGTTCGGGGGTGTTAGTTTAGTTTCTTACTTAAGATTTTAAAACGCAACCAATGACCTTGATGGACGAAAGAAGCTCCGAAAGGAAAAATGCGAAATTATCGAAAAAGAACGACTCTAAAGAAAGCGCTCCGAAAGGAGCGCGTGGCTCTAGTAATAATAAAATATGGAACATACGTAAAATGGGTTAATATATTGAACAAACCGGCCGAAGGTATGCAATCACACGACAGATGGCAGAAGCAGTTCAGATCATGGTCTTCCATCTGCCGGAGAAATATTAAACTAGATGCATCTTTCAAGGAAGTCGATTGTACTTGTAAGTTTTAATCGATAATTTTTAATATTTTATTTTAATTTAAATTTATATCATGTGTCCCATTAGTTCTGCTTCCATATTTCGAACTTTTATAGATGGAAAATATTATAGAAATTTAATATATCACGAGAACTGTAACCGGACTGAGTAATCAAACTAGCGTATTTCGTATGCAATGATAGAACACACTCCAGTCCATAGATTACCAAAGTCCAAAGAGGTAAAGAATTATGTAGTGTCCATATTAGTGATGTGCTTGGGTATTTCACTGTGACCGAAATTGAAAGATTGTCCTTTGTTATTTGATCAATATGTTTAAACATTATAATTAACGTATTGTTTGTAGTAACCAGAAACAGTGTGTTGTCACCATCAGACCTGTCAAGTTAATATTGTGATTATCACAATTACATTTGGTCTGAGTAACATTTTATTTCCGAATCAGGAAGGTAATGTGGCATGCATTTTATAACGTAGCGATATTGAAATGACACAAATCATCTGTATATGACTTCATATTTACAGACTTTGTCCTGTGTGACTGGGTTTAACAGCTTTGTGAATTGTATAATGCAGCCATCTGTTGTTATTTGTTTCATTTCTGTGCATAGTTAGGGATAAGCACACTACTGTCCACTGGCAAATATTTTTGAATAGGTACTGAAGGACTTGCTTCAATAGCTGACATATTAAGTTTTTTGTTTTCAGAACTTTAATTGGTTTCCAATTGATCCTCCAGTCTGGGAATTGTGGGAGCTGGGAATAGGTTGGGGGCTGTAAAAAGACCATTGTGTTTTAAATGCTAAACAGGGCCTAAAACTTGTACTGGTGACAGTTTCTTATGAATACTGTAATGAAACTTTATGTTCCATAAAAGGCTGGGAATTTCATAACTCGCTGAGTACTATCAGCTTATCAAGAAGGACTCTGCTCTATAGAGTTATTTATTGGTTTCCATTATGTGATAATGGGTTTTCCTACATGTTCTTTGTACCACAAAATCTGTATTCTTCTCTTTTAGTCTTTAGTGAACATTAAGGTAGCACCTTTTTTATTGTTTGCCATTAATTGTTGTAACATACTTATTGTTCCCATGTGATGTTCAGAAAATTGTGACATATGCAGTTTGGAAGGAAATGATTTAGTGAAACTTTGTTATAACCTGTGCATTTTTTCTGTTCTAGGCATGGCATGTTTTGATCGTAATAGCTCAACACAAACCCGAAATTTGAGAAGTAACCTTCCAGCATTCTCAGTATTTAGCAGTTATCACAGCAGTCCGTATCGTGTAACTCAATCACTTGCTTCTCTAGGTATGCCCAAACTAAAGCATTGCACATGTACTACAATATGTGAGTCTTTTTTTTATTTTCCTACATCGGTGCACAGCCTCTCAGTTGACATACACTTTTTGTTAACCGGTTGCTCCCAACAGGTGCACTTCATTACTTCTGAAGGATGATGAAAGGTTATATTAGCATTTTTAAATATTAGAATTTCAAGCAAATTTGACAAATTTAGAAGTTTGTAAACTGTCATTCATCATTGTTACCTAGCAGTCATGGTATGGTGCTTAATTAGACATATTTCTCCTTCTTAAACTTACCCATATTAGTTAATTATATGTTATTGTCAAACAAAAACTGTATGACTAGAGAAGTTGGTGACCACTGGTATATGTAATAGTTTCTCAAGTGAACCTGAGCCTCTGGAAATGCAGTTCAAGTAACATCTTTTATCTTGTTGTTTAGGTTCATTAAGTGGACTTCATATTAATCAAGCTCAGTTAAGACAACCTTCTACTGAAGGTCAGAGGCTCTTGCGAGACAATCTGCACACTATGTTTCAAGGACTGCAACCACTGATGGAGCATGCAAGAACTGCACAGAGCCACGGTCTTCCTCTTTCATGGCTTCGGACTCGTCAGCAGCAAATACAGAACCAACAGCAGCTGCTAACACCATTGTCATCACAGCAACATCAAACTATTCCCATAACTCAGCCTTCCTCTAGTGATAGCTTTGTGATCACAGTTGATACTGATGAGGCATCAGACTCTCATTACCACCATCATCAGCATCAGTACGGTCCAAACATGGCCAATGTGCCAAACACTACAACTGCTGAGAACTTCCTTAACAATATCCGTGAAGCTGCAGCTACCAGTCATCCAGAGCAGCCGCATCCTAACAACAACAACAACAATAATGTTCAAGAAGGTATAATCTTCCTCATCCTCAGTTTCATTTCAGACCACTCGGGAAAATGAGTACCATTTTCACTTTTAGACATGACTAGTTTAAGCTGAATGCACCATAAGTTTGGTCTGTGTACTGAGAGAGAGAAGGGACCAATGAAGCTATTGTTGTGAGTGATTAAAGTTCTTTAGTTGCAATGCAGTCCCCCTCATTCTTATGATATATTTGCTGTTCATTCATCCAGTCAAAATGAGAATAAAGGAACACCAAGCAAGAGTCCTATCAAGGATTCAAAAAATGTAGGGGCACATATGTTTTACCCTTTCTCTGCTAAGTTAAATTTGCTGTTCTTTCTGACTTTTGCTATTTCTGCCTAATTTAAAAACAGGAATATTTTCATGTTTCTAAACAAAATGTCTTCTTTTGACCAAGTCATTAAAAATTTATACGATAGAAAACAAAGTTGTTCTTTTCCATTTTTATATCTTACACTGTTACAGTGTAAGCTAGAAGTAATGCATGAATATGAAGAAAAAGGTTCTTCAGTAGCACTGATCTTATGTCAGGCAAGTGATGAATTACTATTCCAACAACTTTTGAAGGATTCAAAAATTAATGAGAATCCTTGAGAAGTTAATAAATAGTTATTTGGTTGGCGGAATTTATTTACTTTTTTAAAAGAGCCTACCACAGGACTGTACACTGACCCAAGTAAATCATTCATACCCTGATATCCATTTCAAGATTCATTTTAGTATCATCTGCCTATGCCTTGTTCTCGCAAGTGGTCTCTTCCTTTCAAGGTTAATAAACGTTCATTAAAATTATAATTTTTGTTTAGCAGAAAAACATTCTCATCCTTTTCCTTGTTTCATTTGTGAGGAGTTCACTTCCCTTACATGTTGCACTCTGTGAAGTTCCAGTATACATACTAATGAATGGTATCTTACAACAGGTCATGACTGCTTTGTTACTTGATATTCTGTGATGAATGTTTCTTGCACCTTATCCACATGTTAACTAAATACTTCATGAAATCACACATGATTTCATGTTTTATTTGTTAATATTTTTTCATTTGTATATTTTAATAGAATTTTATAAAACAACTGTTGTGTTGCATCCTGCTGTAAAAGAATTTCAGTGTGTTATTTGGCAAGTATAAGAAATTTACATTGGTTTGTAATTGTGCCACTACTTTCATGTTTTAGGTGTTGCAGAAATATTGCATCGGAGTCCAGAAGCAAGGCAGTCCCTCGCCTTTCTGCAAAAGTTTGCACTTTTCCTGCTTATTCTGTTTGCCAAAGGCATCTATGATCATTGTTTTGGTAAGTTTTTGGATTTAATTCCAAAGGAGATACAAATACTGGATGAAAATGAACTTAATGCATCAGTTTGAGTTTAAAAATTGTCAGACCCAACCCACTGTTTGACTTGATTCTTTGAATGTTTAGGTATTTTGGCTTGAAACAGACCATAAGTTCTACTTTCAATATAACTGCATAAATTGTGTTCTTTGCTTAGTTGGTCCACAAATTTCTTGCCCTCTATGGAACTCAAAGATTTATTACCATGTAGGATTTGAAGTTTTCATCATGTTGACAAGAGACCACCATTGTACTTTACCCAGAGGCAGTTGAATGCAGGCCACACCAACACCACTTTTCCATATCAAGATCCATTTTAATATTCTCCTCCTATGTATACATTGGCCTACCAAATGGTAGAGGTTTGCCAACTTAAATTTATATATTTCTCATCACCCCATTGGTGCTACATGTCCCTCTTAACTCACTTTCCAATTCTTAATAATATTTGGTAAAGAGGACATACTATGAAACTCGTCATGTAATTTTCTCCATACTGTTACTTTCGCTTCAGTTATTATCTTCTGCATCTTGTTCTCATACATTTTCTGTCTGTGCTTCTCCTGTAGTTTAGGACTCAAGTGTCATGCCTTTATAAAACAACAAGTATAATTTTAGTTTTGTCATTGTATATTATAAATTATAGTGTTTTCAAGAGTTAGTGGAACAGTAGAGGGGAACTCTTGTGAAATGTGAGACCAGGTCCAGGGGGAAACTAATATTTCCTGTCTAGCAGTGGTATTTGCTCTGCACATTTCCACATTTAGGATTGACAAGAGTGTGTGCATGTTTTTCTTTTCCAGGTATTCTTTTCTTCATTGGTTTGTTCATCACCTTTTGCCATGCGAATGCAGTGGTGAAGCAGGAGATAGCTAAACAGACTCAGCGGAGTTTGACGTCACTGTTACTGATCGTCTGCAATATTCTAGGATGTATTCCGTTTATCTACTACTTGTTCCGAGAACAGAAGCTATATCTCAGGTACTATTAAGATACAGAAAAAAGGCAGATGCATTCTTGAACAGAATATGACTTTCCTAAGTAATAAGGAATACATTTAAAAATGTAAAGTTATGGTATCTTAACTCAGTGTGGTACCACAATACAGACTACAGCCATCATCCTAGAGTCCAGTTCCTAGTGCTCTCACCCCCTTTTCCAACCTTGCTGCTGCTGTCACCATCAGTAGTTTTCAAGTGCAGTCAACATACTTTTGTGTAATAACTGTGAATAAGACCATAATAATTTGTCCTTTGTTGTAGCCTGGTGTTCATCCCCCCATATTCACAGCCTCTCAGTGTCTGGGACTTACTGTGGGTTGTGGTTGTGACAGACTTTGTGCTCAAGTTGATCACAATAATCCTCAAAGTGTCCGTTGCTGTACTACCTGTTGCCCTGCTGCCCTACCAGAGTCGAGTAAGTTGGCTTGTACACTAAAAAGGCCATAATCTCTTCCTAGAGTAAGGGGGTTTCCATTTTGTAGTATTTACTAAGTTAATTATTCCTGTAAATGTGAATGGATTGTTTCTTTAAGTATCATTAACCATTTGATGTTTGTAATGTTGAAGTGTTCTTTTCTTCTCAATACAGACTGAATTCTTAATAGTTATTTAGATACTCTTCAGATTCAAAGGGCTAAGGAAGAATTGGTACATAATATCTTGTTTCCCATATGCCCCCTATAGGCATTGCTGTCGCCTCATACAACATTTTCAACTTCTGTTTTGAGTTTGAACTGCCATCCCTTCATGTCTCACATTTTCTTGTCAAGACTTCATCCAGTATGGATAATACACAACTTCTGTCTTTTGTACATTTTCCTTAAATAATTTGTAATAATTTAAAGGGTTGAATAGAATATATGTAATAGGTATGTAGTGCAACCAATAATGAAAATTAGGGATATATGAACATGCAAATATTCAAGCTTAAGCTTTGCCTGAAGTCTGTCTTCAGACTTTTTATTTATATTAATCCATCTAATCTTACAAAATATGCCTTTATATTTTATCCTAAAATAAGATTGTTTGGTATTACTGGTAGCAAGTCCAGACGAAACAAGAGTTTATTTCTCCAAAAAACAAACAAACAAAGGCTTAATGTTTTTTAAGAAAATGTCTGAGATGACACATCTGTGTATCTTGCTGAGTTGTAGATATTGTCTGAAAGATTTTTAATGGATATTACACAAAATGTTCCTGAAAATTATGTCTTGATTTTTTACCTTAATTAGCTAATTTATCTCCGAAGTATCATTTTGTGCTTGGACTTTATTAAGAAAACGTAGCAATAAATATAATCAGAATCTAAGTGTACAGTTTTTTCTGAATTAAATTTTGAAGATTCATGTAAAGTATGGTATAAATTGTTCAGTGTTTTCAGATAGTATACTTTTTAATTCAAAATATATTCAAAGCCCCAAATTAAATGTGAACAAAACCTAATAATTTGTAATTAAATGTTTTCAGAAATGAAATTTGAAGTTTAATTTAAAATATAAAGTAGTTTTCTTCTCCCAACTCCCAAGATCCAAATTGTTTTCGACAGTATGCTGTAGATTGTCTTGAACCAACAGTGTTTAATTGGATATGAATCCATCCACAATAGTTTTCTTATCGTATTCATAGATGGGCAGTGACAGTAGATATCTGAAACTGAATTTCAGGAAAAAAACTAATTCTGCACTCCTGCAGAATGACATCAACAATGTGAT